CCTCTGAAAACACAGCGAGACAGCAAAACCAAACGAGATCTTCAGGAAACCTGTGGGAGTGGGTCTCTGCTCCTGAAGAGCACCTGGATCATGCTGTGGATGTGGAACTGGCAGGGGCTGCCTTGGGCACTTCAGCATCCATCAGTTCCTAATGGAATTGGCTGTACTATCCTCATTGTTCTGAATTTGTGTTCTCCACACACGGGGCTCAGTTCTGGGGTTTAACAATGGCTGCTCAGAGCCCTTCCCTCACGAATGATGTTTGTTTCCCACACTTGAGCGTCGAGTGGTGACAAGGGCTGATGTGCCAAGCCTAGCATGGGTGCTCACTCAAGTGGCCCGTGACTGGGGAGCTGAGCAGAGAAATTTTTTGGGTTTGTTTTGTACTCTGAGACTGTTTAACATCATCTTTTTAGAACTGGGTGTATTAGCCCCATGTCTCAGCTCAGTGGCGTTGTGCCCTTCCTTGGGATTTCCACAGCCTGCCTTGTCAGACTCCCAGTGGCTGCCACCTCCCACCCAACACATCCACATCCCCGATGAATAAAGTTGGTGTTTATTTTCCCCTCTCTCCTTGTAAGGCATTGCTCATTTGCAAGGTAATGATGATCTGGGGCGCCCCATTCATTCCTTGTATTCCCCTGAGCACCCGGACCGGCCGGGCGGGGAGCGGAGCGCGGCAGAGGGTGCTGGTGTGTGCCGGGAGCCTGCGAGCACAGACCCAGCCTACCCTGGGGTGAAGCCACCGCCTCCGAGGCCAGGAAGCTGTGGTGTGTGTGCTCTCTGTGTGCTCACAGCCAGCTGCTCCTCACAGAGCCTGGGAGTGGGAGAGCTCAGCGTGTTTGAAATGCACAGGAACCCCTAATTGGGATTTACTCGGCGGGATAAAAGAAATTAAATTCTCCAAGCTGGCTGGCAAAGAGGAGAGCATGACTGGATCCTTGTGCTGCACCGTCCTCTGAGTTCCTGCAAAGTAAGTGGTGTTGGCTTTCCAGTCTCGGGAATCTGCAGCTAAATGGGGAGGGGGGAATACTTTAAGACCCTATGAGAGTATATAGAAGTCACAGCGTTGTTGGAGGTGCTGTTGCAGCTGGCTAGACTGGACAGGCAGGATTCCTGCTCTGCTCTGGGGAAGTACCAGCTGCGTTAAACCTTGCGAGTTGGGCTGGAAGCTGTGTGCCACTCCTGCAGGCTGTGTGCTGCTCCTGGAGGCTGTGTCTCACTCCTGGAGGATGTGTCCCACTCTGTGCTTTGTGCTCTGCTGCTGGGCTTTAAGGGAAGAAAAGGTGCTGGAGGTTGTCAGCGCTGCTGGGATGTCGTGGCTGGAGGCTGAGTGGGAGCCGATTGGTTTTGGGATGAACAAGTGGAGTTCAGAGGTGTGGGGCGTTGTGGGGGTTTTTTCAATAGGAAAATTTCCAGTTGTGTTGTGGAAAGGGGGACTGGAGTTTTGCTTGTGTTGAGCTGTGGGTGAGGAGGCTTGAGAGTGTGGTCGCTGAAACACTGTCCTCTGTAAACCTGAGGTTATTCACAACTGCAGAATGTGTGGCAAGAAAACCACTGTGGTAGGCAGGTGGTTCTCAAAAAGACACGTATCACCTCAATACATCCTGTAGTTTGGAATCTGCCTTCCCATAACAGCAGATCCGAGCTCTCCACTGGTGTCCTCCTGTAGCTCAGCTCTGCAGAAAATCTCTCCAGCAGGTTTTTGCCTTAGAAGAGCATTTCTCTGCCCAAGTGAGTGAGTGTCCCGCGATCAGGGAAGGGCAGGAAGAAAGAAACGCGCTGAAACTGTGTCAGCCTGGAGAAAAGCCCCGCGGTGTGGGCGGGTGATCACTTAGCTGGAGGTTTTAAAGTTGTATCTTCTCAAACGCTACTCCAGCAATGGAGCAGCCATCAGAACTGCAGCTGGAAGCGTGCATCCAAGTTTGGGGACATTTGGGTTTGGCATTTAGAAATATAGTTAGTCTTTTCTAAATGAAATGCCTCCAGAGATGTCTGACCATGAAATCCCTCCTTCCTGCTGCAGAGATGAGTGAAGTGGGTGAGATCTCGTGCCTGCTCCGTCTTAGAAATTGTCTTAAGAATCACTAATTGCATCCCACGGTCTAGGGCAGATTCAGTGTTGTGACTAACTGTAACAGGGCTTTCATTTTTCATAATTAAAAAGAAAAAACCCCATCTACTTCTGCTTCTTGGGCCTTTTTTGCAGCACAACTCCCCAGGGTACCTGAGAGGAGTTTGCTGCAGCCGTGTGCACAGTTGCTGATTGAAATCAGCTCAGAATGTTCCCCCTGGTTTCTTGCAAAAACAGGCTTTGAGTAGCTTCACAGACCTTCTGCTCATCACCCTGCACTCAAAACTGTGTGGTTTTATCTGGGGAGATGAATCAGAGGTCGGGCAGAATCAGGAGCAGCACTGAGTTTTACAGTGAAGTTGATCTTGTTTTCATGAAACCTGGCTGAGGAACTTGCGCTTTTTGTAGGAGTCACAAAAAACTCCCACATCCTGGAGTTAACAAACCATCTGCCCTTCACGGTGCCTGTGCTGGGGTGTCACGGAGGGGAGTTATCCCTCCTGGGCCGTGGGTGTGTGTCGCACGTACGCAACGGCCGTGGCCGCCCTTGCCTTCAAAGCCATCTGGGCTTGCGGAGCCAGCACGTTGTGAAACCTCGTCTGCTGAGTCTCCTGCCCCAGGGAACAGCCCCAGGACTGGGAGATCGATAACTTTATTGGCAGGAAATTCAGGTGTAGGTTTTGGAAGGTCTGGTTGAGACTTTGCCTTGCAAACCTGCTCGGTCCTACCCGAGCGGCTTCAGTCGGGCGCTGAGTTTTGCTCGCAAATACGTAGTTTTGGGAGGCCCAACGAGTTGTCCAAAGTGGCTTTTCCCAGTGACTGCTGAGCCTGCAATAGACAGTTTCACTGGTCAGAAATCCAGGAGCAACCACTCAGCTGCACAACTGAGTAGGTCAGAAGAATTTCTCTGTATTCATTTCCACTCAGGAAGCCTGTCCCTTCTTCAGTCTTAAAAATTCAGGGATGGAAAATCCCCCCGTTGTGGGATAAGCTGCCCCATGTGTGCCTGCCTCAGCATGCTGAAAGCTTCCACCTCGATTCCGACATCGCACCAGTTCCCGACTGTTGTTCCTCGTTAGAACTTTGTCTGCTGAACCCCAGAGCCTGCTCGGCTCTGCCCTGAGCACGGCCACTCCTGCAGCCTGTGATCCCATCACTCTAATGAGCTGAGTGAGTCCAGCGAGGAGCTCCAGGCTCTGTCTAACACGACAGCCCTGTTGCAGGTAATCCATGTAATTAATGTATGCTCAGACAGAAAAGCTGTGTTGTCTAATTAAAAAGTCGTTGGAGAGGGAACAGCCTTCCCTTCCCAGCTCTGATCTAAGCCAGTCTGTCCAGCCTGGTTAGTCCCTAAAAACTCTCTGTCTCACTTTCTACCTTGAACTAATTGGTCTCCAGGGTTCAGGCTTCAGTCAGGGCAGTTTCCAAAGGCATGGGAAGTTCTCAGATAAAAGGGTGCTCTCGGATAGAAGGGTGCTGCGAGTGGGCAGAGACCTGCCAGTTATAGGGGTAAAGATGTTCCAAAGATGCTGCAGTGTGACATGGAGGTCAGGGCAGTGGGGACAGTGGGCACAGACTGCCCCGCTCACTGTGGAGCTGCTGTAGCTTCTGAGATTCACATGAGGCAGGATGGCTTCTCATCAGAGCTCATCTGGTCTTTGTCATCCGGATGGTGATATGTAAGAGGGTGAGTAAGAGGCGCTCGGTGTGCCCCGCAGGATCTCTGGGTGCCCAGCCGTGCTGGTGGAAGCTGTCCTGCTCAGCTCTGCCCGGGGACCCTGCTGGCCCCGTCTGGATCGGCTTCCGTGGCTTCTTGGAGCCGGGCTTTACTCCCGGGCTGGGAACTGCCTCCGCCTCCTTTCGGCGTTTCCCGGGTGCGGGTCACAGGCCAGCCTTTTTTGGAGCGCAGGGTGCACTGAGCTGAGCTCTGCAGAGCCGGGAGCCGCAGCCGCCGTCGACGCTGGGGCAGGTGAAGCTGTGTCAGCTTTTGCTTTGGGTTTGCAGCGCGCTGACGGCTGAGCAGGGACGGGGATGGTGGGACAGGGGTCACCAAGAGCCTCCCGGGAATGATCCTGACAGGCTGGGGAGCATCTGCACTTTGTGTCGGGCTTCCCAGCACCTTTGTGCCTCTGCACCACTTGCTCTGGCCCTGCCACTGCTGCCGTTTACAGGAGAGGACTCTTCCCTTGAGGAAGGTGCAGGGACAAGGGCTGGATTTGGGCAAAGCATGGCTTCAGGCAGAGGGAAGTGGTGGAAAGGTTGGGCGTTGTCTGCTCTGTCACAGCAGAGAGCAGCTGCAGACCTGGGACTGTGGTGGCGGAGGAGAGGTGGGGTCTGTGTGAGACCTGCTGCAGTCAGAGGGTGTCTCGTGGTGTGACAAGGGAGAGGAGGGGAAGATGGCTGTGAGGCCGAAGCTCTCTCCATTTCTGGGAAGCTGAATCATCTGCCTGTCCTGTCTGGCCTCCCCTATGCTTGGGAGTGGTGTCACCTCCATCCCACAGCCCAGGCGGTGTCCCGGTGTCCCCAGAAAGCACTCTGTCACTTTTTAAGTGACTCCAGAGGTTTTCTGGGGCCCCTGGCAATCTTCTTTTCAGCATCTCAGTGGCAACCTGGGAGCTTGAATCTCGTTGGGTTTGCTGGGTTGGTTTTTTCAAAAGGAACCAAAAGTTTTCCTGGGATGTGGCAGAGCACCTGCTCCTGGGTGTCCACACTGGGTGGGGCACTGGAGGCATCTTGGTCACCCTGGGGAGGGCAACCACTGGCCGGAAAATGGGACTCCCAGTGCATGTCCCCCTCCAGAGGGGCCTCTCAAGTCATGGAGCACCATTTCATGCTGTGGTGAGCCCGGCAGTGCCTGGCTGCACCCCAGCTCATGTTCTCTCTCCCCAGAGCTCAGCCCCACGGTGGTGTTGGAAGCAGATCCCCCATGGCTGCAGCCGGTGGCGAGGGGCCGGTGGGGACCCCGCTCCTGCCGACCGGCGCTGCCCTGGCCCTGCTCGGTGGCCTGGTCTACCTGGGTGCCCTGTGTGCTGCCTGCAGACGGTACGTGCTGCCTGCAGCCCCTCTGCTTTCCCTCCTGGCACTGGGATGGGGCTGGGGGCCCCTTGGTGGCATTTGGTGGCCACATGTGGAGACTCTGTGTGTGCCCATCCTGAGCTGGCACTGCTGGGATCTGCTTCTCTGCTCGCCTCAGACCCCAGTGACCTGTACCCCAGTGCCCAGGGACACCTCCTGCACCCAAAAATCTCACAGGAGCAACCCAGAGAGGGCTGAGCTGTGCGCAGGATGGGCAGGGTGGGTGATGCCAGTGGCAATGCCATGGGTGGTGCCAGTGGTGCCCGGCACAGCTCAGTTGTAGGATGCAACTGAGACCTCCCCAGCCAGCACAGACCCTGCTGCAGGGCTGGGGAAAGGAGCAGTGAGATGTGGTTTGGGGGATGCCAGGTTGGGGTCCTGGGGCACCTGCTCCTCACCCCTGGCTTGGCCACCCACCTTAAGCTCAGCTCCACTTCTCCCCACAGCAAGGGCAGGAAGAAGGTCGCTCCAGATGGGGTGAAACTGGTGGATGAGGTAAGCACATGTTGGGGGACAGGATCAGCCCCAGGGGGGAGCTCTGGGGCCCCCAGCTCCCAGACATGAAGCTGAGAGTGTGTGTTCCCAGGCCCTGCTCCGGCAGACACAGCTGCGGTCACTCAGCAAGTCTGACACGAAGCTGCATGAGCTGTACCGGCTGAAGGCCAGAGACAGCGGTGAGTGGCCATGGAGCCAGGGGAGCCGAGGGGCTGGTGGCCCTTGGCAAGTGCCTGCGGTCCCCACGCTGCCTGGGGAGCACACCACGACATGCACACCCATGCTGCGGTGCCGGCGTGGTGCTGGCACAGGGGTTGGTGCTGCTGCCTCCCCCATGTCCCCTCGTCTCCTCTCCTCTCCCGCAGCCCAGCGCCCGGCCAGCCTGGATCTCCCCTGTCCTGCAGCCCCCGGAGCTGAGTCCCTGCTCAGCTCTGGCCTCCTGCACCGTGAGCTGCCCCGGATTCCTGTCCCCGAGCCACCGGCCGCCTCCCCAGCCCCCGACCAGACCTACTCCAACCTGCTCTTCACCCCACTGAGGAAACCAGCAGCAGACACCGTCTATGAGTCCCTGGCAGTGGGGGGGGAGGACACCCCAGTGTCCCTTACACCCGCTGGCACCCAGGTGTCCCCCCCGCGGGTGGGACATGGGGTGGCCGATTACGCCTGTGTCCATAAGGTGAAGAAGGCAGTGCCTGTGGAGGTGCAGGATGGGGCCATGGCGGGACCCTCTGGAGCACAACAATGCTGGGATGGCACAGGCAATGCCCCCCGGGCCAAGGTACGATTCTGGGGGGCATCAGGGATGGGGTACAGAGCAAGTCGTATAACTCCCTGCCTCCCTGTAGCACCTGTGTTTGGAGCAGGGTATAAATTAGGCTACTGCATTTTCACTGGGGCTTTTTGGGGAGGCAGAATGAAACCAAAACCTCAAGGGGCAGGCAATGCCCACGATGCTGCTCTCTATGCCCCACAGAAGGCTTCCTGGGGTGCGCAAAAAGTGGGATCCCCAACAGTTAATCCACTGCCAGGATCCTCTTGCGGGGCTGTGAGAATCTGGGGGGGTCACAGGCACAGGGATACCCTGCAGTGGGCAGGGATCACCCCCAAGCCCCCACCCAAAAAAGTTCCTTTTGCAGCTGGAAGAGATGTACTCGACAGTGTGCAAAGCCACCAAGAAGAAATCCCAGGTCCCTGCATCGACCCCAAGGGCCTCAAGGGAGGCGGGTTCTGGGTGGCCACCCCCCTGCCAGCAGGAGGGTGCCCCAGCTGGGTGCTGGACCCCATCAGCCCAAGGCTCCCTGGACCCCTGCTATGAATCCATCAATGACAGAGCCTGGACTGCTCAGGGCCGTGGCCCCGACCCTGACTACGAGGCTGTGGACATTAACTGGAAGAAGGCAGCGAAACGGGACAAGCTGGGGAAGACCTGTGTCCCTGAGAACCTGTACGAGAGCGTTGGGGACATTTGGGCAGGGGAGCCCCGGAGAGCCTCCACCCGGACGACAGCCAACGGGCTGGAGGTGTACATCACCAACCTATAGCCCCCCAGGAGCAGGATCAGTGCCACAGTGGGGTCCCACCATGGCTGGACACTGTCAGTGCCCACAGACAGGCACCTGCAGCCCTGGGGCATCCCTGCACATGCTCTCTGTATATATTTCTGTTACTTTTCTTTAAGTGTCTTTGTCCCATCCTATCCCAGCTGGTGCCAGCAGGTTGCTGGTGGGATGCCCCAGGGTGGGCAGTTTGGGGGTGCTGGGTGCCGTGTGGGACCCCAATGGGACAGGGCTGGTGGTACCACCAAGACAAGAACAGGATGGGGACCAATCATGTTTTGGGGCAGGGGGTGGCAGGACTGTGGTCAGCCCTGTCAGGGGCTGCAGGATCAGACCCTCATCAGGGGTTTTATGCCATGAGTGAGGGTCTCTGTCCTCCTCCTGCTGCCTTGGGTAGACCAGGGCCCCCTCCAGCCCCCAGGAAGCCCTGAGTGACTTTGCTTCCATCACGGAATGTCCCTTGTTATGGGGAGATGGAATCATCCCTGTGCTTTTATGGAATCATAGAATATCCTGAATTGGAAAGGACCCACAAGGGATCATTAAGTCCAACTCCTGGCCCTGCACAAGACAACCCAGAAATCTCACCTTGTGGGTTGTGGACTGTGGCAGTGTGGACAGTGGGCTCTGCTCCATCCTCTGTCTCCCCACTCCCACCCCTTCAGAGCCACGCAAGTGTGTCTCCGTGGGCAGCCATCACCCGAACACCATTAAAAGGTTGAGAGGGTGTTAACACTCCTTAACTGGATCTAAATATGTGATTCTGGGGGCTGGTGCTGCTGCAGCAGCGACGCAGCGATGCTGGTGCTGGGAAAGCCCCTTTGGGCACAGTGTGACTGTGGGTGCACCTGCTCTGCATGGATGGTTTGGCACCTCCGAAATGGGGACATGCAGCCACCAAGAGCTGCCAAAATGGGATGGCCTTTGCCAGAGCACTGACTTGCTCAGGAGCTTTGTACAGGGTTTGGGCAGGAACTGGGGCGTATTTGCACAGCACTTGCTGCCTGCTCACCTCCCGTCTCCCCCGTGGGTCCTGCAGCCTCAGTGTGCCAAAAATTGAGTGCTTGGGAGAGCTGGACGTGCACCTGGACCCTCAGACCCCAGAGCTTAAGCTTTCCTCCTCTTCTCCCCACTGGGAATTGTGCATCCCTGCCCCAAGGGATGCCCAGTGCCCTCCAGGCAATGCCACGATGGTGGCCCGGGTGTAGCCCAGCTGGCCAGGGGCTACCTAACATGGTGGCACAGTGGCCTGGTGCTCGCTGGAGCCGGGTGGAACCTGCGGCCCCTTTGCCGTGCCGTGCCGTGCCATGCTGTGCAGCAGGAAGCCACACGCCTTCCTTCAGCAGCTTTGCCCCCACACCGCGGCAGGTGAAGAGATTAAAACCGAAAACGCGGCGCTCAGCAAACCCCGCCGCAGGCGTTAGAGCCGGAGGCACCCCAGCCTTCGTCAGCCCCGTGCTCGACACCAAACCACAGCGCCCGCTCGAGAGCTGCTCCCATCCCCCTGCCAGATAAGGGCTCCGATAGAACTCGGCTGGTGCCGGTGCTGCCACGCTCTTCCTGCTGCCAGCCTGGCAACGGCGCCTGGGCTCCCCCCGCGCTGCCCCCGGCCGCATCCTTCCCCTGCTCCCCTTCTCCGTCATCCCACCCCACAAAGCCGGGTCCCCCCTGCACCACCTGAACCCCCTGGAAGCTGTTTTGGGCTGCGTGGCCCCACACAGGAGCATCACCTCCTTGTGGGATCAGAGCAGCTTCGCTCTGGGGCAAAGTGGGCCCTGTGCTGCCCCAGGGGCCGGCATGTGGGTACCACTGTGCCACCTCCATGGGGAAAGGAAGGCTTGGCATGGCACCTGGGGAGGGGAAACTCCTGTTCTGGCAGAGCATCTTCCCAACCTGCCCCAGCAGCAGCAGAAGCAGCCCACTGTGCAGGGCTGCCTGCTTGCCTGTAATTCCTGCGGGACTTCGGAGAGCCAGACTCAAATAAAAGAACAACTGCTCAGTCCTCAGGGCGACGGAAAATGTGCCTGGAACCCTGCAGTCTCGAAATCTGGGTAGCGAATGAAGAATCCACCCCGAAACGTCTCGGAGTCTCGCGATCTGGTCTGGATGGTTGAGGTCAGAGCGAGGGGAACGGGTAGGGCTGGGAGCACCCCTCCTCGGGCCCGGGGACAGACCTGTACGGGGCTCTAAGTCACGCTGCGAGGGGATGGTGCTAAACGGTGCTATTCCCACAAGAGGGAGCGAGCAGGAGCCCAGCGCACGCCGTACGGTGCAGAACGGGGCTGCCGTGTAGTCCTGCACTCTGTAGGACATTGCACGGTGCTGCAAGATGCTGTACACACCGCACGGTGTGGCACCGCACGGTGCTGTACTGGGCGCCGTGCGGGGCTTTGTACCGTAAGTATCCACATCCCGCATGTCCCTGCACCCCGCAGGGCTCGGTGGCTGCGCGGCATCACACGGCTCTGCACCCAAACCAGCTCCACACCTGAGCAGCTCCGCACCCTGCCCAGCCCCACATCCCTGCAGCTCACTCCCGCACCCCGGCAGCCCTGCACCCCCCAGCAGGCAGCCAGGGGAGATGGGAACTGTGGGCACGACTCCGGCTCCCTCTGCAAGACCACTTGGGAGAAAGTCATCACAGCCCAGTCCAGAGCCAACTCGGCCCTGGCAAGGACATCCAGGTACCACAGGGGCGTCTCCCAGGAATGCCAGTGCCGGGAAGGTGATTCTTGAGGGTGTCCTGTGCAGGGGCCATGAGTTGGACTCAATGATCTTTGTGTGTCCCTTCCAACTCAGGAGATTCTATGGCTCTAGGGTTCTATTTTGGGATGGCACCTTGCCGACCCCCCCCGCCGCCCGGGCCGGGGGTCGGGCTGGTGGCACCGGGGCCCTGTGCAAGGGCGGGCGATGCCCGTGGAGTTGCACAACACCGAACGGAGCTGTCGGAGCCGCCAGCTCAGCGCTTCGGCCGCCGTTAACCATTAAACCAGAGCAGGGGTGGCGGCGGAGACTCCCCCGGCACCCCCAGGCTCCTCCAGGGCCGCGCTAAAGGGGGCTGCGGGGCCGGACCCACCCCAGGGACAGGACAGGACGGGGATGAAGGCTGCTGCGCTTCTTCTCCCGTTCCCCCTGGGCAGGCTTGGGGCCCCGCGGGCGTCCCGGTTCCCGGGGGACGCTGCTAATCCCTCCCTTCCTTGCAGGAGGACCCCGCGGGCGGCAGTCCCGGGGTGATACCCGGGCTCTTGGCCGGGCCCGTGGGGGCTTTACCGGTTTGCTGCTTTATTTCACATTTAGGAAAGCACCTGGACATGGCGCAGGGTGGAAGCGGCACCTCCAGCCATCCCGCTCCCTTCCCATCAGAGCAGGGAATAAGGTGTAGCCAAAGCCCCCCTGGAAGCAAGCTGGGAACATTGCCTTCCCGGGCAGGGCATCCCCGGGATGCTGCCCTAGCACCCCCAAAGTCCCTGAGCCGCGGGCTGCTGGGGGACAGGCAGGGAGACAGGGTGGGGACAGGCAGGGGCCACCGTCCGGGACAGACACACGGACTCTGTCCCGGCCTCCAGAATGCAGGTTGGTCAATCCAGCAGCAGCAGGACCTGGTGGCCCCTCGCCGGCCCTCCCGGCCCGGGGGCAGTCGGGGCAGGTGAGGAAGAGCATGGATGGGAGGCAGCTCGGGCTGCCCCAAGCACCCCGGAACCCCAATACCCAGTACACTACAAGTACCCCATGCACCCCACATACCCAGAGCACCCCAGAATCCAGTGCACTCAGGGCATTCCAAGCACCCCACGTACCCCTTGCACTGCAGGTACTCCATGCACCCCACATAACCCTGGGCACCCCAGTACCCCCTGCGCCCCCTGTACGCTACACAACCCACACACCCAGGGCACCCCACATGCCCAGGACACTCCATGCACTCTGTGAACCCCATGTACTCCGGTACCTACCTCAAGCACTCCCAGTACCCCAAGCACCCCGGGCACGCCACACCCAGTCCTGCCATTCTGGATGGGTTTGGGCAGCGATTCTTCGTGGTGGGCAGGACTGACCCAAATCGATTGGGATTGGGGACCGCCCTCCCACCCCAGAAATGCAGACCACACCTCCTTCCCAGCACAGAGACACTGTAACTTTTGGGGGAGCCCTATAGCCAACTTCCAGTGGGTCTAAAACTTCCGAGGGAATTTTGGGGGGGCCATATAATTTTTGGGGGAGTATCACTTTGTGGGGAGCCCGCAACTTTTGGAGAACCCCTCTAACTCATCCGCAGCCCTATAATTTGGGGGGGGCCGGCATAACCTTTGGGGGAGAAACTCCCCGAGTTTGAACGCTGGAAAGCTTCACCCCGGGAAGTCTGAAGAAGCTGCCGGGAGTTGAGGGGGGGGGGGGCTTTTTTTGTGGGGGCGCCCCGAATTCCTCGCCGTAACAACAAAATCGGAGAGACTTTCGGGCGGGGAAGGTTCCTCCGCAACTTTTTGGGGTGCGCCGCGACTTTGGCGGGAAAGCGCGGCGTGGCTTCACGGCGGCCCCAGACGTGCCGGGAGGGGTCCCAGGGGTGCCGGGACGTGGGGAGGCAGGGGGTGACGTTGGTTGGAGCTGGTGGGTGGGATGGGGGGGTGTGGCGTATTTTTGGGGGGTCCCGCGGGCAGCGCCCGGCGGGAGGGCGGGGCGCGCGAACATGGCCGCGGTCGGCGGGGGCGTGGCCGAGGCGCGGAGGGGGCGTGACAGCGGTGGGCGGGGCGAGGGGGCGTGGCCGCGCGGGAAGGGGGGGCGTAGTGACAGCGCACCACCGCCAATCAGAATCTCTGAAAGCGGCGACCGCGCTCCAGCGCGCGCGGCCCGGCCAATGGCGAGGCGCGGGGGGGGCGTGGCCAAGAGGCCGGCGCCCGACCCCGGGCCGCGCGCGGCGGAGCGCGCTCCCCCCCGCCCTCGCCCCCCCGCCCCCGCCGGGCCGCGGCCGCTCCGCGCATGGACCCCCCGCGCCCGCCCGCGGTCCTAATGCCCGCCCGCCGCCGCCGCCGCCCGCCACCGCCGCCCGCCGGGGCCGCCGCCAAGGTACCGCGGGGGGGGCGGCGGCGGCGGACATGGGGGTGGGATCCGGGGGAGGTGGCGGCGGCGGCGGCGGGGGGGGGCGGTGACAGCTGACAGCGGCCCGCCCGAAAGTTTCCCCGCCGGTAAAATGGCGCCGCGATGGGATAAACTTTGGCGGGGGGGTGTGTAGCGTCGGGGAGCCGGGGGGTGGTGGGTTACACACACACCGCACACCTCCCCCCTCCCGCGGTGGGATCATCCCTCCTGGATCGCAGCCCTGTGCGATATTCCAGGGATCTGCCCTGGGAGGGATCCGCCCAGCGCCGCCCTTCGGAGATCAGCTAAGATCCGCTTGGAGCGGGATCCGCTTGGAGCAGGATCAGCTTGGTGCTGGACCACCTGGGATCTCCCTGGAGCCGGATCCCCTTGGCGCCGCAGCTCAGGCTGGGGATGGTGTCTGGGATTGGCCTGGCAGAGACAAGTGTGCTCCCAGCGCTGGGGATACCTGCTGGATCCTGGGGGATCAGCTCAGAGAGGAATAAACTTGGGATGTGGATCCCTAGAAGGGATCTGAGCTGGCATGTGGGATGTGTGTGCTGCCATCCTGGAGCTGCCTTGCAGAAGAGTGTCAGGTCATCTACTGGCTCTGGAGATCCCTGCTGGATCCCTACTGGATCCCTGCTCATGGTCCTGTGAGTCTGTCTGTGGAGGGATCCACTGGTTGCTGATGCTCAGCCAGCAGGTGTTGGCACTGGGATCAGCCTCCCGGGACCATCTGGGGATTGCCAAGGAGATCCTGACTGGATACCACTGCGAGCTGGTGGGATCCACATGGGATCTACCCTAGCGGGTGGCCAGCAGGGTCCCTACACGGCCCTGCCTGGCGGCACCGATCCAACTCCCGAAACCCAACCCAAAGTCGTGGGAGGATCCCTGCGGGATCCACTGCTCAGGGACTCTTGGCTTCCCACCTCCGTCTCTCCCACAGGCTCCACTGGGATCCGAGGGCTGGCTGGGGGAGCCGCCACCACGCCAGGATCCGGCCAGCCGGGAGGCCGTGCTGCGGGTGCTGGACGCGGGGCTGGAGCAGTACCTGGCGCTGCACTCGGCCATGCAGTGCATCCCCGTGCCCTGGCACAGGTAGGGCCACCGGCACAGCCACCGCCCTCCCGCCGGCACCGGCCTCACCAGAGCAGACGGGATTTTGTCCGCCGGCCACAGAAGGACTTTGGCCGCTGTCGGCCGTGCCGGGGTGTCCTGCAGTGACCGACCATCCCCCTGGGACAGCTCTGGGGACTCCCACTGTGCTGTGTGCTGGGCTGGAAGCATCACTGCCCTCCTGCACTGGGTTTTCCCTTTGCAAAATGATTTCTGGTGCTCCTGACCTCTTGCTTCTTTTTTTCTTAATCTAAATTTTTTTATAGTTTTTTTCCCACCTCATGGAGTTGTTTGGCCCAAGCTGAGCCATCCCCACATCTCTGGGCAGGATGTGGATGCTGGTACCCTCCAGCCCACGGGCATGGAGGGTTTTCCCCTGGGCTGGGAGGCAGCAGTGTTTTTGGCTGGCTGCCTGCACTTCTGCCATGCCATGCCAGGTAGGATTCCAGCCAGCTGCTGGGATGATCCCTGTGGGGATCAGCGGCATTTCGGGGTACTACAGGGCACCCACTTTGCATCTGGTGATACCCCCAGCACAGTGTGGCCACTGTGGCCTTGTGCCACTCACACAAGCAGACCACTGTGTCCCCCAGTCCCAGCAGCTCATGGGGGGATGGAGAGGGATGGAGTGCCTCAGGAGGCCCCATCCATCCTGACACAGCCCCCCTGCTCTCACTGGCAGGAAGCTCTCGGGCAAGGCAGGCATCGATGAGGTGATGGCGGCCGCGGTGCTCACCAGCCTCTCCACCAGCCCACTGGTGCTCGGGCACCCACCGGCCACTCATGCCCCAGGTGAGAGCGTGTCCTTGTCCCCCTGTACCTGGACACGTGTCCCATGGCAGGACCTGACCTTCCTCCTCCTCCTCCTCCTCACCAGAGCCGGGTGGTGAAATCTGGAAGGAGGCTCCTGCCATGTCCTCCAGCTGCAGCAGCAGCAGCAACACCAGCGGGGACTGGAGCTGGGACCCCCCCAGCGACCGCTCCACCCCCTCCACCCCCTCACCCCCCCTCTCCAGCCACGTCCCCGGCACCTTCCTGCCCACTCCGCTGTCGGATGAGGGCCCTGATGAGCCCAACGGCACCCACTTCATCTTTGGAGAGCCCATCCCACGGAAAAGGAAGGTGGGATGAAGCTGGGGATGATTCTGGGGGTGAGGTTGGGGATGGGGAATAGTGGGGATGGGGATGAAGAAGAGGATGAATTTAGGATGAGGTTGAGGATGCAGCTGGTGCTGGGAATGAGGTTGGGAATGGGGATTGTGAGGGTGGGGATGAAGAGGAGGATGAGGTAAAGGGTGGGAATGAAGAAGAGGATGACTTTGGAATGGGGATAACAATTTGGATGGGGTTGGGGATGGGGATAATGCTAGAGATGAGAGTGGGGCTGGAGACGAGGTTGGGGATGGGGATGACAGTGCAGATAGGGATGAGGATGTGATGGAGATAGGGCTGCCAGCCTGACACCTCTCTCCTGCAGAACTCCACCAAGGTGATGTTCAAGTGCTTGTGGAAGAGCTGCGGCAAAGTCCTCAGCAGCTCCTCAGGGATACAGAAGCACATCCGAACTGTGCACCTTGGGTAAGCACGTGGGGTCCCCCTGGACACCCCCAGGTCCCCTGGTGCCCCCTGTGGGGTCCTGCCGTGGAGGGGGACAGTGTTGCAGCCAGACCCTGCTGTCCCTGCAGCCGGAAAGCTGACCCCGAGCAGAGTGATGGTGAGGAGGATTTCTACTACACGGAGCTGGACGTGGACGTGGATGTGCTGACGGATGGGCTCTCCAGCCTGACTCCTGTCTCACCCACCTCCTCGGTGCCTCCCGCCTTTCCTGGCCCCGAGGCTCCGGCTCCGCCGCTGCCGCTGGCACTGCCGATCCCCGACCTGGCACTGGCCTCCCCCTGCAGCCCCCCGGGCCCCCCCGGCCGCTGCCACGTCCACACGGACCACGCGTACCAGGTGAGGGGGGACAGGGATGGAGGGGGACAGGGATGGGCGGGGGGCTCACCACCGTCACCCTCCAGCCCCCGCAGCCACCCCGTGTCTGACGGGGGCTGTGTCCTCTCTCTTCCAGGGCTGCCGGATCCCCCCGCGGCCACCGGTGTCCCCTTCCTCACCCACCCCACCTCCGCCCAAGCCACCCGCCGTCCCCAGGTGAGCCACGGCCATCGCGCCCCGCCCTGTCCCCTCCCACCCGCGTGTCCCCCCTCCCGGTGACCTGTCTGTGCCCTTTTCCCGCAGGAGGCCGCGGGGCGATGCCAAGAAGTGCCGCAAGGTGTACGGCATGGAGCACCGGGAGATGTGGTGCACGGCGTGCCGCTGGAAGAAGGCCTGCCAGCGCTTCCTCGACTGACGGGGCCCCCCCCCGGCTCCCTCCTTCTTGCACATTTTGCACTCGAGGTGCCTTCGCGCCCCCCCGGCCGCCCCCCCGGACTCAGGGAACGGCCCCCCGAAAGCTTTATGCACACACACACACAGCCCCCCTGCCCCCCCAGCCAGGGAGCTTCTCCCCCTTCCCCCTCTTTTTCCTTCGAAAATAAGCTAAATCCAACCCCGCTCCTGGCAGGTGGGGGCTGTGGGGGGGTGTGGCTGGCTGCTCCCGGCCCCCTCCCCACTCTGGCTTGGGGACCCCCCAAATAAGCTGTGCCTGTGGCCGGTGGGGGCTCGGGAAAGGGGGTGTCTGTTCCTCCCGGGGGGCAGCCCCAGTGCCCAGGGCAGAAGTGGGCGCCTGCCCCCCCTTTTTACCCCCCCAGGGGGTTTTTACTCTTTGTATTGTCATTTCTCTCTCTTGTTCCGGGGAGCAGCAGCTCCCTCCGGGGCATGCCCCGGGAAGTGCCTGCAGGAATGCGCCCATTTGCACTAAGCCAAACTGCACAAAGAGGGGTCTTTTTGTTTTCCTTTTTTTTTCTTTTTTTTTTTTTTTTTCTCCTTCGTGTGGTTTTTATTTTTTAAATAAAATATACGAAAATTCGTCATTTTAACCACTCCCACAGCACGAGAGCGCGCGGGCCGCAGGACGCCTCCAGCCCTGGATGGGTTTTAAGGGAATTAATTCACTTTAAACCCCCTTTTTACCCAAAAAAAACCCTTCCCCCCCCCCCCCAAACCGTTTCTCCCTTCTTGTCCTGTCACCTTCCAGCCCAGGCAGTGGCTCAGGACTGGGTTTGGCCAGGCCATGCCACCCTGCTCCTTTCCCCATGCAGGGAGGGGACAGGGAGGGCTGGTGGCCCTGCCACCTTCCTGTCCTGTGGGAAGGTTTCCTTGTCCCCTCTGGGGATGTGATGTATGAGATCTAGAAGGAAAAAAACCCGACCAGTATTTGGATTTTCTTTTTGATGGTTCCTGCTCTTTACTGTTAAGACAGGCAGGGTGGGCACCCTGGGCCCCTGGGCACCCCCAGACCTGCTGCCACCCCCTCTCCTGCATCCCCTGGCAATGGCATCACCCTGTGCATCCTCCTGGGAGTTGTTTTAATTTCAGATAAAGCCCTAAAAATAAGGAAATTTCCACCAACACGCAGCAGGGAGGGGGGGAATGAGCCACAAGGTGCCTGTTTGGGATAGAGATGGGAAAGGGGAAGGGTGAGGGAGCAGCACCCCCAGCCTGAGGGCGAGCAGAGCTCCCTGCTGGGGTGAAGGGAGGTTTTGGGGAGTGAGGACCCCCATCCCCACATCCAGGAGCAGAGGGGGATGCAGGGCCCTGCAGCACCAGAGGGCTGCAGCTGGGTGGTGCCCACGGTCCCCCCATGTCACCCCATCCTTAAACACAGGGCAAGGAGGAAAATAATAACAACTACGTATTAAAAGAAAAAAAAAAAAGAAAAACCAGACAAAATTGTAGCAGCAATTTCCCAATTTATTGAAACTGATTGATTTTTGCAGGTATGTCTAAGCTAAATCCCATCACAAAGGTTCTATCCGAGGGGTAGCCCCCGGCAGGCAAGGAACCGGGCAGCAACTAGAAAATAAAATCAGATTTACCTGAACTACATCGACAGAAAATCAGTACAACACAGCATGTTCTCCCACTGACTTCTGGTTACGAAATCTCCTCAACCTCCCCAAAATATTAAACACATCTTCAATACAAACACAGGTTTATAATAATTAATATAAAGTCAGTATAATATAGAATATTCCCAGAAAAAAAAAAATCAACAATCTTCAAACACCGTCCTTTTTGTGTTTGTTCAGCTTTATTTTTGTAGACAGGTTTAAAGCACGTCGAAAAATAAATATATATGAAAGCATACACACAGCACTCTGACTAGGGGGGACTAAAAAAAAAAAAAAAGGCTGAAATTCAAAACACAATTCAGGATCTACAAAAATCAAAGGAACCATTAATTATGGCTTTTGTAGGAGTCGCACGTGTCACAGAATGAGCGAAAATTAAGATTATCTTTCAGAATATTGCAAAAAATTCCAGTTTTTGCATTGTTTTCATGGAGTTTCTTTCCTCAAGGGCAATGTGCAAAAGGGGGAGTATTGAGGGGGTTGCTTGGAGACAGGGACAGAGCCATCAGTCCCAAAACACACCCACCCCCCCCAAAGCCACACGGCTTCGCTTTGGGAAAGCAGAGTGTTTAAAGGCAGGAGTGGGAGAGGATATAAAAGGGGAAGTAATGCTGGAGTGGGTTTCCTTTCGTACAAAAAAATACTCGCTTTGTTGTCCAAAACATTGATTTTTGATTAAAAAAAAAAGAAGGAAAAGGGAAAGGACAGTCATTTTGCAAACCTTCCTTAGGGATGTCCCCCTCTGCCTCCATACAGTCACTCCGCAGCTGAGAGGCTTTGGGGTGACCTTCAAACACACAGAGCTGGGGAATGAACAATTTTTAAATAGTATTTTTGGAAATTCCGAATTGACAGACACCAAGGACCTCGTTTGTCTCCACTCTTTAAGATAGTGTTCAAGTCCATGGATCCCTGGGATGTTTTCCAGAGGGCACAAGGCAGGACAATGCCTTCAGCCCCTGTTCCATGCCGTGGCCAAAATGCTCTGTACTCCTGGCACTCATGTTTTAAATAAAAAATTAGGATAATCAAGGAATTCAAGGAGGAACATTTACATGTATAAATGCTTAAAAAAATGAGTTGCAAGTTCTGGAGGCCAAGTGTATCCATGTTTTACCTCTATGGGGGTAATTTGTTTTGGGACTAAGTCTGTATATATATACACACGCACATATATATATATATATATATTTAGAAAAAATTAAAAAAAGGGAACCTCAGTGAAGTATACAAAGCCCTGAAAGGAAGTACAAAGACGAGATGCAGAACAGGCAGAATTAGTGGGGTTTTGTTTAAATCTCCAAGAGCAGAAGTTTGCATAGGCAGTAGATCCAAGAGATCCCGGAGAGAAGCTGAAGGGATGCGATCACCTGGAGCAACTGATGAAGTTTATTATAAAGTTTCAGCATACAAAAAAAGTGCCCAAATTCCTGTTTTTGAACCCAAGTCGGAGCACGGAAGGTTGAAGATTAATTCCTGCGTTCCCAACTCTGCACACTTCCATCAAAACAAAGCACTTCACTAGACATCAGGTGTTAGAAGGGGTTTATTTGGTACACGGTGTTAGTGGGACAGAAGCTCGTGTGAGGTTATAACGGTAACCTGGGAGAAGTTAGTTTTTATGTGGATTTTCCGTTTTTCTCTCCTTTTTTTTTTTTTTTTTTTTCAATTTGCTTTTATATTTTGCATCCTCAGCTCGAAGAGCCTCGAAGTGGCACAATTAGGGAACACTCCTGAGCGCTGCCTGGCTCTCTGCCCACCCTTAATAAAAATAAGGAAAGACAAGAAAATAATACAGCATTTCCAAAGGAATTGTGAAGTCAAGCTCAGCACCCCATAACTCCAATTACAAAATCGAGTCACCCAAGGGCGAGGGCAGGAGGAAGAGGGGGACTCAGGCCACACCTGCTCCTCCTTGGAAGGTGGATGCACACGCTGGAATCAGAGGGGATGGGCGATCGGAATGTCACACAAACCCAGGGGTTTGAACTGTTTGAGTCTTAAAATTCTTTTTTTAAATAGATTTTTACATATAAAAAGCAAAGCTACAGATAAATCTTTAAGTACTGTATGTATTTGTCTACATGTAACAGGTGAGGCTGCACGTTCAGGACCTCAGGCACCCCCACCCCCTCCATATTTACAGGGTAAATGACAATAAATACAGAGCCCGCACGCCGGGGGGCCAAAACTGGGATAAGGGAACATCCTCATTCTGGAAACCCCCCCCCCAAAACTGCTGGGAAAAGGTATATAAAGGTCCAATCAAGACATACTGGGTGGGTTTTTACAGCTTTTTAAATAGGGGAAGAGAAGGAAAAGAAGCTAAAATGCAAAATGAGATTTTTACAGGTTAATCAAAATGTTCCTGCACAACCCACTCTGCTCTTCCCATATTTAAGGGAGAGGGTTATCCATGCTCACTGGCTAAAGCAACAAGTCCCACTAACTCCTCCAGTCCAAGGAGCAGCAGCAGTGATGCTGGCATGGCCTCACAGAGGATTTTAGGAAAGACCCGTGTTCCCACACTGCTGAGGCACCCCCCAGACCAACCCAGCAGGAGCCTGGGAGCTGGGAGGCTCCCAGCGTGAACTGGGATGATGGATGCAGACAGGACGTGGTGAATGAATGTCTGCAAGGAACTGAGGAGCAGAGAGAAAAGGATTGAATGCCATAAACCCAGGATGCAACTGGAATCAGGGAATGAACAGAGAACCAGCTCCTGCAAGTGCCAGGACAGAAGCTCCCACCGCACTCCACCAAATCCCGGCACCGAGTGCCTTAAATCCTTCCAGATGATTTTCTTTATGGGAGTTTATGTACAATATGCTTTTAATTCCTTTGCTGGGTGGAACCACACTTTTCCTTAGGGACCACCAGGCCTGCAGGAATGCTCTCTGGCCTGCAGGGAGGAAAATAGCACCTTGAGTCATTTGGCTTCTGGGTTGTCTTTTGTGGCAGGTTTCAAGGTACCACTGTCACAGACATCATAGAAAACTGCTCGATGGCAAGGAAGGAGTGAGGTCTTCAGCTTTTTTTTTTATTATTGTTTAAAAAAAGCACCAGAAGCAAAGAAGTGAAGGTAGAACAAGCTGCGTCTCAGGAACAAGACACTTCCAATACACGTTGTTACTGTTATTTAGATGTAGCTGGAAGAAGGCAACAGTGGCCGATATGAACAGGGAGAATCCAAATACCTGGAGCGGCCCCACACAGTCTGAGGAGACTCTGGGAGAGAAACCTGCTTCTTATTTAAAGAAAAAAACGGTTTATTTGAAAATTTACACGAAACCAGCACAGCTAACGCCGAAGGTTTTTGTCATCAATTAAGTAGGTGTTTGTTACACCTACCAGTAATGAATGTTTAGATTGGCAAGGAAGAACGAGGTACCCAGGTGAAATCCTGGCCCCACCACAGTCCATGGGACAGGAGCAGCAAGATTCCACCCCGCTGGGATCTCCTCACCTTGGCTTCTTGCCTTTCCCAGCTCATCCTGCACTTGGCCGAATGCCTCGTTTTTGCTACGGTTTGCATATATTTATGAAAAAGGCAGCTGAGCAAAGGGGGAGAAGTGGAGATATTTGTGGAGAAGAATGACAGATACAGAACTACCTGTATCCTCTAGAGCAAAAGGTGCTTCCGGAAGCACCAAGACGCGTTTCGGCGCCCGCGGATAACCAAGGCTGGAAGACAGGATGTGGGTAAGATGCCAGTAGGTCCAAGAAAAGTCACAATCTGTCTTTGATGGTGATTCTTTTGGAAGCTGAGAGTCTCAGAGAAGTATTCGTAAGGCTGTAGTCTGACTTGCCTTTTGATCTATTTGGCTCCATAAAAAATAATAAAAACTCTTTAAATAACTTTGCAAAAGGCTTGTGTCATCAGGGGAAGCCCTCCAACGCATGCATCCATCTGCTTTCACAACGTTAGCTTGGAATTCCACTGCTGCTGGGATTTTAGCACAGATAAGGTGTTAAAAAAACCCCCAACCAACCAACCTTCTTCGGACACAAAAACCTCCCTGGTGCTCGGTTCAGGGTGGGAAGGGGAGGAGGACTCACACTTCACCCAGCCGCCTCACACCTGCAGAAATTCCACCTCCCTCACATGCATCCTGGCTGGCTCGGCCGGAGGGGCGGGTGGGGGCTCCCAGGGGGAGAAGGAGGAAAAGGGAAGGCGAAGTCAGTCGTGCCGCTGGAAGCGACACTGCTAAGACAGTGTCTGAGTGGAACAGAGAAGGACTTGTTTAGAAAACACGAGAGTTATTTTGCACACATGGACGACAACAAGGCTACTTAAGTTTTTTCCAACATACTCCTTCCTCCCCACCCTCCCTCCCCCTACAAACAACAGAGTGAAACAAAAACCAAACAAAAAGTAATCCCTAAGAAATCCAGGTAAAATCCTTGTCGTTCTCCCCAGAGTTGTCCGGCTCCTGCGGGGAGTCAACATCTTTGTCGTCATCTAAAATCACATCATCTTGTGACATCCCCACGTCATCCTTCCACTTGATGTCGTCGTCGTCTCCCATCTCCTCGTCTCCTTCCACTTTGATGTCATCCGGGTCTTCCATGTACTGCCCTTCCCCAGGGTAACACTCGTCTGGAGACCCTTCTCCCCCGTTGTGGTCCAGGTGCCCGGCGATGCCGCGGCCGGAGCAGTCGGCACAGACGCCGTGGCGGCGGGAGCCGTGTTTGATCCCCACGCTGGCCGCCGACATGAACACCCGGTTGCACACCTTGCAGACGTACTTTTTGTCTTTGCTGTGGACCTGGAAAAGGAGAACGACCAGAAAGGTTAATGCCAAGAGAGGTGGAATGAGAGCTGCAGGGAAGGACACACTCCCACGTCCTCTGCGAAGGCAAATCCACTGCTGCAACCCGAGATCACAACTGGCTTTACTGTGAACTCAAACCCACCACCATTAATTCAACCCTGCAATGGTGACACACAATGGAAAATCCTTTGGGATTGTCCATTCATCATCTAGTAGTTCTGAGGGGAACTTTTAAACACTTGCACTTGTTTTCCTCCCCCTTTTTTTTCTGTTTTTCTGGGGTGTAAGAGCTGCATTGCACCACCATGAGGAAAAACTTAATAAGGGAAAAAAAAACACCCTCAAGCACTGGTTCTATGCAGATCAGAGCAGAACCAGCCTGACCAAAACAGTGTTAATGTCATGGTGATTTAGTCGTCTTCATCCTGATCCTACTGCTGCCCAGAACCAAAGAGAAGGAGAACTGGGAATGCATCCTGTATCTCCAAAAAAAAAAAATGCATCTGGCTGCACTTGTGACTTTATTTCTGACTACTCTGGTTTGTCACAAATGTTTCTGTTCCATAACTCAGGCTGCACTCTATGACCAAGAATCCCAGGCATACGGAGCTATCACAGAACATGTGGCAAGTGGGAAAATGCTCTGTAGGAAACCAGAAATCACTTTAAAAGTCGAACACTTCACGACTCAGTGAGCAAAGTTACACACTCTGAGAAGAACAAATCACCCAATTAAAAGTGAAATCTGTCCTTGGCCACTTTTGCCCTGCATGGTAGGCAAGGAGCTTGTCAAACCACTCACCTGCTCCTCTGCCAAAGGAAACCAATGCAGGGAGAACCCCTGAATTCCATCACAAGGAGCCTCATCAGGTATCTTCATTTTTTGTGTGTATATATATATATATATACACACACATAAAACATATATGAATTTTATTTATATATAGAATAGTTCAGTCAGAACTATTGGCCAATCTTCTAGTCCAACTGCCTGACTATTTTAGGGTTGCCTAATATATATTATAAATTTTATACATATATTCCTTCTTTTATATATTAACACCACATGGGGACAGCCCAGGCACTTGCCTTGGCTGATGCCCTGTGGCTGGAACTGATCCTCAAGGACACTTTGGGAAGTGGTGTAGAAGCAGATAAGGATCCAGTGGCCAATGATTTGGGGACAGCCCATCAGCCACCAGAGCCTTGGGGCACGTATCACCAGTCCCTAATCCTTCTTTAACTCATTTCTTTCCGTGCTCCCAACAGCCTGTGGGAAAAGTTTTACCAGTTAAAGCCCTTCCTTATATTTTAAAGCAGCTGCCTGGATGTCAGTTCCCTGCTCCTGCCTCAGCATGGGATCAACAGCTCTAACCTGATTCTCCATAACCCTCTACTCTAGAATACTCAGCTGAGCTAAAGCTGTTTGGGAAGAGGACAAATTGACCCATTGTGGCCCCTTCAGCCCTCGCTGCCACAGGACACTGGCTCAGGCTCTGTGTTACACCAGTCCCAGCCGTGTTCAAAGCCTGGGAGTGCCTCTGATGTGCTCTGGCTGCAGGTTCCCCTGCTCTGAGCTAGTCCCCACGACATTCTTCTACTGCATCAAGCAAAGGCATTGGATTTTATTACTTTTTTCAAAAGCAGTTGGACAGGGCTGGTCAGAGTCATCCAGCTGGATCTATAGGTATCATTCACTTCTAACTCGTAGAAGAATGATTTTCAGGCATCAAAAGCTGAATAGGAGAACAGAAAGTGGTCAGGGGTGCAGAATAAGGGCTAAACGAGCCATAAAAAGAAGGAATTATAAAACAGGTACTAAAGCAATTTGTAATTATCACAAAATCACTGACTGGTTTTGGTTGGAAGGGACCTAAAAGCTCATCTTGTTCCAACCCCCTGCCATGGGCAGGGACACCTTCCACTAGAGTAGGCTGAATATCTGTTAAAAACCTGATCACTTCTCTCCCTCCTTTCCAGCAGTTCAGTCAGCTGCTTCAAAGAGAACCATATTCCTGGATGCAGCTGAGCAGAAATTAATCTTATTTCCCTTACTGCCAAATTAGCAAGTATTAAACACAGAAACAGCATCTGACCCCCAGTATCAGACCATGCCATTAGCAACATCATATTCTAACTGACTAAAAACCAATATTCCAATGAAGAGAGGGGTAAATGTGCTGACAACATCCTAAGTTCACGAAAAAAGAATCGTGAAAAGGGAAAGTTCTCAGAAATAAAATGCTGGAGGCAACCAGCTGGCACGACAAGGTGTTCCCTGCTGCAAAACCAGTAACTGATCCCGAAACCTGTGTGCTTGCAGCAGGACTGAGCTCACTGTTGGATGTGCCTCCGGAACACCAGAGCCGCAAGGCCCCAAGGAAATAGGGAAGGGACATCTCGGGGAGCAGCCAGTCCCCCGAGCAGATGGCTGGGCACTCATCCGAATGGACACAAGCGTGCAGGGGAGGAAGGGAAGGAGGTGGTGGGGGTTTGTGGCAAATTGTCACGCAGGCCCCCGATGATCCCGGCGCTGGGGCACTGCTGTTGGTGAGCTGTGCCCACTGCCAGCACCTGCTGCTGAAATAGTCATCTAGAAACTATCTGCTCTCCCACAGTAGCACCTCTACACCAAGCTTGGAGAACCTCTTTAGGACGGGGAATTATTTTATCCTAAAAAGAAAAATAATCAATGTTTGGCTTAAAATTTTGTTTCTGAGGAAGCTGTGAAGAGCCAGACACCAGCACCAGCCTTGCAGCTGGAGCTGAGCAGCCCTTCTTTAATAAGGTGTAACAGTATTTCTGATAACTAAGCATGGCCAGACCAGAGCAGCTTTGCCTTGAATTCTGGTTGAGCAATGTATTTTAAAGCTTTCCACACAGAATCATAGAATTATGAAATTGTTAAGGTTGGGAAAACCCTCCAAGATCATGTCCAATCATTCCACCAGCACTGCCAAGCCCACCACTAAACCATGTCTCCCAAGTGCCACATCTATATATGTGTTAAATCCCTCCAGGAAAGGTGACTCCAGCCTGTGCCAGGGCTTGCCAGCCCTTTCCATGAAGAATTTTTTGCTAATATCCAATTTAAACCTTGGAAACCCTGAGCTTGGAGAGCAGGAAGAGGTAGCTCTGGATGAACAGGCAGCCAATCACAAGGCCTTTGAAAGCAGGGAAAAAAGATACAGGAGAAGCCTTCAGTCAAGCCCCAGGAGGGGAAACAAAACCCAGACTTAAACCAGGTGAAGCCTCTCTCCTTTTTAAACCCCAACAAACAGGCTGATTCCCCCAGCACTGCCCTCACCAAGGTGTGCCGCTTCATGTGCTCCCGGCGCGTGAACTTCTTCCCACAGATCTCGCAGGGATAGGGCCTTTCTCCCGTGTGGGATCGCATGTGTCTCTTCAGGATGCACTGATGCATGGCTGAAAAGCTGCAGTACGGGCACTTGAACTTCTTCCTGATGACTGTGAACTCGTTGACTGTAAGAGAGCAAGCAGAACACACAGGTTCATCTCAGAACGTCTCAAAACAGTCTTCTGGTTGACTATTTCGCTATTAAATTAGTTCACTGTGAAATCACACTCTCACCCCTTAACCACCTATATATTTTAGTCATTACATTACATTATTGCCCTTCTGTTATTGAAGCTAAGAGGTTAAGTACCTTTATCAGAGCAGCTTTTGAACGAGGCAACACATAAACATTTAGCAACAGGCTGTTACAGACATTGCCCAACACTTGCTGAAGGGGAAATAAAGAGGGCTGGCAACCTGCTACAGTTCTGCTTTATTATAAAGAATTATCCTAAATATCAAGACATAAAATTTTAACCCTATTACTTGTGGAGGAAGCAGGGAGCCAGGAACAGAAGCCTTCAGAGGTAACACCCCAACAGCACTATGTGCTTTACTGCTATTTATGCGGCAGTGCAAGAACATCATCACACACCCCAGGAGCATTTTGGTGAAGGAGCAGAGACTGAGGATAACCCAGAAGAAAGAGAACAATTAAAACCACCAATCCCTATGCTATCCAACCCTGGTTCCTCCCCCAAACACAGCAACAGTGTCACACACAGAATACAGCAGGTGAAAACAGAGTATTTGCTGCTCCCTGAGGACATCCCCCCAGTACAAGTTTGGAAGTGACTGTCCACAAGGAGATGATTTTAAATCTCCAGCTTCTCATTATTCTATTGCTTCCCATTATTATGTTAATTTTCACCCACTTTTCTCCTAATTATTGTTATTTCTCAAAGCAATACATTAACATAACAAGGAGGGGGAAAAAGAGCAAGTTCTGGTTAATGATCTCAACTTCCTTACGTGTATGCAAATGGCTCTTGGTAAATGAGAGTCTGTGGAAGAGAGCTGAGAGAATCAGGGAATACCAGACCTACTACCTAGCTCCTAAAACAAGCAGTACTTGGCAGTATTTTTAGATGCTTAATGAAATATTACCTCCTATAAATGCCCTACTAGGTGTGTGTACAGTGCATGTCCTCAGTATGTCACAGGTGATGCCCAGGAGTTATACTGTACACTGAAAAATGGCCTTTTTAAGGAAAAACAGTAAGCCCATGTACTTGGTGTCATTTCATGCCCAACTCGTGGGCTGGTTTTTTTTTCTTCTGCTTTTAAAGTTTACTTTGTCTTGTATTCCAATAGAAACACCGTGAAAAGTAGCTACATTTGTCACTCATGCAGAAGTGCAAAACCACCTGACACTATTAAAAGACACCTTTAAATAAGGTAACACCTCCCTTGCACAATCAGAGCAAACATTTCAACATTTCATCTTAGAAAAAAGTATTCTAAGAAGTTTTCTGTTGTTCTAATACACACTAAAAGCATTATTCAAGATCTTAAAAGCTGCCATAATATGAAGTTTATCTCAGCATTTGTTCTGACTACTCAGAATTAAATGCATCCTACGCACAGGCAACTTTGTGGAAAAAAAAAACTTCCTCTGATTATCAGTTTGCATTGTATTTAATATTCTTATATTCTGTTCTTGGGCTTCTAACTCGGTGGCTTGGGCTGCTCAGCACCTGTGGTGGCCCAGCCCACAGCTGCTTTTGTTGGGTGGTTTGCTGTTTTCTCAGCACATTTCTAAAGCTGTCAAGAGAATTTTCTAGGCCAAGGGAAAGAAAAAAAAAAAAAAAGAGAAGTGCAAACTCACCTGGGCCATGGCTGCAACACTGACACCAGGGAAAGCCAAGGCTAAGGAATATTTTATTCACCTGTCAGCAAAGCTCACCCACTGCGATGGGGCAGAGTGTTCAGGAGACTCTGAACTTGCTTTGGGAATCTCCCAGAGGAGATGCCTGAGCATGGCCTGATGCCCAGAGCCTTGTGCAAGCTCTGGTTGGTGACCTAAACACCAGCCATTCTCCTACCCCACACTGATCTTCTCATTTATAACATTTTAACATCTTTTTTTTTTTAAACACCCAGAATATGAAAACTTTCTCTTTTATATTACAAGAAAATTACTTTTTGCTTTATCTTCTCCTTTGGTTTTGACACCCCCCTCATCTACACACTCAGAGGCAAGGAGCCCACGTTTTCCTACAGCAGGTGGCAATTTTATGATTTTAGGATACAAAGCTATTTATGATAAATATGCTTCCAGTCTGATCTTGTAACCACTCGATCATTAGTGACAGGCCACACACAGACTTCTAATAACCCTGTTACTATGGAGTCCACACAAGGTAAGCAAGCTGGGTGGAACCACTGGAAAACACTGACACAGAGATCCTGACAGCAACCAGATCCCGGGATCGCGAAGCAAAGGTACTTAAAGGGAATAATACCACAAAACACCTTATTTCCTACATCACCAGGTCGTACCTGATCCTGTCAATTCCCAGGTGACCAGGTGCCTGCTCTCCCTGCCCACACCTCTCCTTTTATTTCATGGCTGAGCTGCTGCAAAGCTGAAAAGGCAACACCCAGTGTCAGGTGCATGACCTGCACCCCCAGCACCCTCCTCCACACACCAACAACCACCTGCTTCCAGCACATCCATGTATTTTCAAGACTATTCCTAACACTGTCCGATCCCGAGATCCCTCACACCTGCATTTAGCTTAAATCACTCAAGAAAAACATTTCAGCTTCTAGTACACTTCTATTTAAAAATACTCACAGAACACTGTTTGCAGCTATACTTTTATTTTTTCACCAAATAGCCACATATTTAGTTCTCGTATCTACAAAAGGAAACACCTGAAAACCAGCAGCATTGTCAGAAAAGTAACTGTATTGCAGAGTTAACATTTTCACAGTCTTGTTAAATATATGCACCCACAGTACATCTATTTAATGAGCAACATACCAGCTTTGGTATGAGCATCATCTTTGTCTAAATGACAGTATTTTATGGAGCAGCATTAAATATAGCAGCATTAAGGTCCTAAGAAATCATCTTTAACATGATCATCGAGATGATTAACAGCAGCACCGTAGATGATGAGCTACTGGACACAGCACCAAGGAATGGAGAAGGAAATAAAAGCAGTGCCACAGCAAAAATTTGTGTACTTAATGTCACTAAAATATTTATGGAAATGCGTGTTTTTAAAACCAACACAACAGTGCTTGGGAAAAAGCCTTTGGTATTGTCATTTCAAGTAACTTATTTCAGTGAGGCTGTTAAAGGAAACAGGCTCCTACATCCCTGAGAGAGAAAAAAAAAGCACTAGTGACGCCCTGCCTGGTAGAGCTGCTGTGGATTAACTCTGTAAACTGATATCTGGTTAATAATCACTAAAATACTGCACTCATTGGGTTATTATGAAGAATTCACAAACTTTAGGAGAACTCTTGTCCGCTTACTGCCCATTATACTTAAGGTTATAAATAGTGAGGTGTAATTTAATTGTCAGACTCACACTTCCCATCATCCTCCCATGCCATTTCCTAGCAAAAAAATCCTGCTTCTAACACCTGTTCTGCACAAGCCCAGTAAGGCTCTGCTCTGCTATATCCTATGGTTCTAACAACTTAAAAATCCTAGTCCTGATCCTGAAGGGAAACACTGGAAATTCCCAGTGCTGATGCTGGGAAGCACTCTGATGTACAGGCCAAGGAAAATACTACTTAAACTTCTACTAGAGACAGTGAATTGACCTGACTACAGAAAAAAAAAGTTAATGTTAAATTAAATTCTCAAACATGAGAAAAATGAACAAACATGAAATATCATGAACTATCATATGAATGAAGCCTTTCAAATGTTGCTGAAATTGCTTTTGCTGGCATCTTACTTTCCAATTTCAGACAAATCCTACCCTGCTGCTCCCAGATTTCCAGATAAGACTCGTTTGGTCACAACTTTGTCTCTTGGCTCAGCTTTGTCCTTCCTTACTTGCTGGTTATTTAAGAGCAAAATAAATCACGAGGCAATTACTCTGACATCTGTCACAAGGGAAGCTGACAGACTAAAAACTACACACATTCACAGACAGCTGAGACCCCCGATGCCAAAGACGTCAATGGCAACAAGAGCGGAAAAAATAAACATGACTTTGCAAAAACTGTGAAATTTAAACCTAAATGATTTAAGTACAATGTACTACCCTGATTATATATGAACTTCTTCTCAATCCTGACTGCAGTCTGCTCAAAGGAAGAGTAAGAACCAAGCCAAGCAGGGAAATCCCAGTTTCCCAGCCCTGGCACGGCACAGAGATGTCTCCCTGAAGCTCCGACTCGCAGCAGGAACAAGCAGAGCAGTGTTGCACCAGAATATACCTGTTCCCTCTTTACAAGCCCAAGGGCAGCAGGAATTGAGGAGCTCTCTCATCTTTCCACAGGAAACAGCTCTGGAAGAAGCTCCCCACCAGAGTCTCCAGGCTGCTCAAGTCCACTTTGTGCACGACTAAATATTTCTCATTTTTGTCTCCCTGAGATGCAACAGTACAACAAGAAAGAACTTTCCTGAGGAACTCTAAAGAATGTTTGTAGAAGCTTTTTCCTCCTCAGCTGTCTCTCACCCACTGAGGAAAGCAACCCCACACACTGCCAAGCTGTGCTGCACACAGAGCAGCTGGGAAGCACTGCACTTAATTATGCTACTTTCATTTCACAGTCACCATAATCTGGTTTAGTATGTAAATATACAGCGAGAGACACAGAAATATTTAATCTTTTTAAAAAGTAAGTGAATTTCACAGAATAAAACAGGAATTACAGTAAGATTTCTACCCAGCAGGAACAGCCACTACTGATTCTGTGTGCACACTCCAAGTCACAATTAGATCTATGTGAAGATCCCCTTCCTCTGCTTCAACACCACACACTCAGCCTGGCTATTAATTACAGTATATAAAACAAACGAGTCACAAAAATTTATAGAATTCCTGAGAACCACAGCCATACTCCAGGATTCTTAAAAAGAAGTCCTAAAAGTACTCAAATATAATACCAATAAAACATACAAGCTTTGAGACAACTTTCAAGCCCAAATAACATACTCTGTTGCACATACGAACAAGCAGCATGTTTTTCTCCTTTAAAAGACACAGAAAACCAGACTTTACAAACAGCTTACAGGGCTGAGCAACCCAGTGCTTCCACAGCTCCTAAATCCACACTGAAAAGCCCAAATTGTCTAAAGGCACAGTACTAGAGCAGAACTTGCAACTGAATTCTCTTATTAGCTCTATTACTAATACTTTCAATGACCTGAGATGTGTTATTTTCCGAAAAAAACAGGAGGAAAACATCACCATTTCTTTTATAAAGCACTTTGAGATCTACTGATAAAGTTGAAGGTAGTGTAAGAACACAGTATGAGCACACCAATAAAACAGCCAAAGTGCCCATTGTGTGGACTGACAAAAGTTGTCTCTGCACAAAAACTGCACCGAGGTTGCAGTGACACAGCATCTGGAACCACCACAGTATCAACTGATCAGCTTTGGGGAGTTACTCTCTGAAATGACACCCGTGGAACGTTTATTTGCAGCGCGAGAGCCGCGGAACGATTTGCTTTTCCTAGTTTAAGGAAGCGTCTCATAATAACACAACAGCAGCTACGCATCCTCAGGATCCTCGCTTGGTCCTACACTGTCCAAAAGCTCCAACCCAGCCAGGTGGGCAGAGCCCAGGTAACACGTTTTCACGTGGCTACTGAGGTTCTTCTGGGTACCGAAGCCCTTCCCACAGCAGAGACAGACAAAGGTGCGCTCGCTCGAGTGCACGGACAGAAGGTGCCGGTTTAAGTCTGTCTTGTCGCGGAACAGCTTGGCACAGTTAGGACACTGCATCTTCTTACAGTGGAAGTGGATGGTCTTTTCGTGCCGATCCATGTTGGATTTCAGAGTGAAGCTCGCGGGGCACTTGGAGCACTGGAAGCGGCCGAGTTGGCCGGCAGGAACGCTGTCGGCGAGGCCGGGCCGGGAGCAGTCAGCCACATCCAGCGGGAGGAGCATGGAGAAGGCGTGCTCGTGGATGTGCTCCTTCAGCTCCTCAGCACACTGGAACACCCTCCTGCAGAAACCACAGGTCAGCCTCTTGGCCAGGGCTGAATCCAGGAACGTCCCATCGGTGGCAACGTCCGTGTCTTCGGGCCTGGAGAAACTCGTATCTGAAACAGAACCACGGATGCACGTGCAGAGATCAGTGCCTTCGGGTGTAAAATAATTTACAGTTTAAAGAAATATATTTCTCTCTGCTTACCTGAGTCAGAGTTATCAAACTGCCAAAGTGCCAACACTCTGTCGTAAGCGGCCTGCAGAGGAAAAGCACATGGAGGTTAAGGCAGAGGATCTGTCCTGGCAGGCAGAACTCCCACTGCTGGCACTGCCTTCCCCCTTTCTCTAAAGGAGGCTCAATCACTTGACCTGGCAACCCTACGTGCCTTTACAAAGCTTTCACTGCCAAAGCAGTGAACTGGGATGTGTTTTGCAGGATCTGGTGTTTTGAAGACAGTAACCAACATTCCTGTTTAGGTCCTGGGTAACCACTCAGTTTCCAGTCTCACTAAGCATCCGTAGCTCCCACTCAGGCCAACGGGAAACACTGGGTGGAAAATTTACAGCAGATACAACAGAACTGGAAAATTCTCCCTTAGTCCTCCACAGCTACTTTTCCTTTCCACACAGAGAAGCCCGTAGAAGACAAACACCTTCTGTGTAGCTCCCTTTATGCAATGCTCTCTGGCACTGCTGGGCCAAATTCTAAATAAAAGCTGATTTTAGTCTTTTTTTTTTTTTCATAAATCCTTCACGATATGCCAGCGTGTGGCAGATGGCAACCCTGTATGAGGCAGAGGCACACTGCAGCCTTGGCAGGTCTGTGCAGACCAGGCAGACCAGCTCACTTCACCCTACAGGGACTGCAGAGGAAAATCTGTGTTTCCATCCATTTGTTTAATAGAATTAAAGCATCACTTAAGAACATTAGGACATGCCACAGAAAATTACAGATTTTAGGTCAAACTCCTGACTTCTGTAATAGAGCCAGCCCACTTCTGTCCAAATTTAGGCAGTAACAAGAAATCCCAATGCAGAACACCAGAAGTGAGCAATGGGTAGCTGAGGTCTTGGCTACCTTCATGCCATTATTATATGCTTGTGTGCAATGTTGTGCAAATGAAGGGATTTACAAAAAAAAGGGCAGGTATATCTAAAAAAAACCCAGAGGTTTTTGAATGGAAATTTTGTTCAGGTAAGGGAAAAAGGCTAAAACTGGGACAGCACTAGCCCTGACCTCAACAGACTTCTAGTTTTAAAATAACCTATATTCCTTTTAAAAAAACTAACAGACTAAAGTAGAAGGTATTAGGCCTTTCAAACTCCTAACTGAGAAGGATTTGATCAAACAGACACCTTTGCGTTTCAATTTCTTTGCGCTTCCCCCCTCGATCTTACCTGGGTTGAGGAAGGCACCTCTCCTTTTATCACAGTTTCTGGTGACAATTCACCAGAAGAGCAGATCCCGGGGGGGCTCTGAGTGGCAAGGTGTGCTGAAGGCAGCGGGGGAGATGGTGCTTCCACTTTGCCATCACATTCGCCCCTTGAAGGATTCGAGTTGGTGCCAGGCCCTGGGGAACACAGGAAACGAGTCTCACCCACGTGAACGAGCACCAGCTGGTGGCTTTAAAAACGGCCTCGCAAAGGCAGCGCCCCAGCACTCGCAGCTCATCTTCTGTCAGTGGGAGGGAATGCAGCAGGACAGGGATGCCAGGCTTTTGGTCTTTCTGGTTGGTTCCTTGGTTTTTTTAAAACCAGCCTCCCCACCCAAACGCATGTGCTGGAGTTACATCGCACGGCACGGTCACTACAGAGTCCGTCGGGAGAGAGAAGCACAGTGCAGCACAAATATCCAGAGCAATCACATTTCTCTTGGAGAAGCACCATTCCAAACACATACATTTCCACCTTTAAGGAACGTACACAGAGACTTCATTCTGCTAACTTGAAAGTTTATGTCAAAGGTTCAGATTTCAAGATCTGTCCGTGGTGGTTTATTTAATATTGGGCTGTCAGTCCTTGATCTCAAAGTGCTTTACAAAAGATGGGAAAAAGGATTCCTGTCATTCTACAGTTAGCAAGCATGGAAGTTCAAATATTTGTACAAAACTCTTCAATTACACCTAACAGTCATTACAGTCTAAAAATCTCCCTTAGTTCAAAAGGAAATCACGCTGTGTCCGGCCCAAGCAGAGTTGCACCCTCTCGCCTGCACTGTAGCAACAACCAAGTGGAAAACAATATTCCAGAAACTGTCCTGAAAATCAATGACAAAGCTAAATACAAATAAAGACTGTGTCATCAAAGTCAGTGTACATTATAAATTGTTAAACAAACTTTAGCACACGCCTTGAATGGATATTGGAATGACATATTGAGCCGGTGGTTCTTTTTGAAAAGCAAGGAGGCAAAACCAGAAGCAAATACGGCATAAAATAAACAAATTCATATTTAAAGCACTCTATGGCCTAAAGGCTTTTCCATTTCCAGTACGAAAGAGTCTGATTGAAACCTTCAGGGATACAAAAAAAACACACTCTCCAATGCAGCTACAAATAACAAGTCACAGTTTACACTGTGTCTGAATACAAAGCGCTGTGATCCGGGTGACAACAAAGCACTCGAGTGAAACCACACCAAGAAACGTGAACAATCCCAAACCTTACTTTTTTTTATCAGCTATCAAAGGAAATTCTGCTCTTGTGCCACAAGCTGGATGTTTGATTTACCTTCCTCCGCTTTGATCCCAGACTGAAATCTTTCACAACTTAGTTAACTCTATTCAGCTGGGATAACAACGCTCCAGAGTTTCACTCCGGTGGTGCTCATGTGTTGCTGTTGTAATTTAAGGGCAGGACAACAAAATGCTAAGGTCTCATAAATTGAAGACAGGAAAAAAAATCAGAAAAATCAGGAATTCACCAGTACTTTTTGTTAGAAACCGTTACCAGGAATCCAGCTCTCCAAGTCCATAGCAGAATTCCTGCTTAGACAGCCACACATTCCTTTTTTTTTTCCTCCCTGAACATCCCAAACTGATTCAAACTGCCCCAGAGGCATCTCTGGCTTGCACTTCCTTTAACTAATGGTACTTCAGCATACAGTAAAGATAAGCCAGTGGGGCCTGGCTTGATTAATTCTTTTTTAGCACCTCTCCAGAGTTCCACAGGTTCCCAAGAAACTCTGCACTTCTTAAAGCAAAAGTTAAAGTTCATGAGCGAGCAGTGAAATAGAGCACAGAGAAACAATACGCTATCATCCAACTGACCACGAAGACGTACAACACAATAAAGTACAAAGATGAGTTTTCAAACAATAATTAATATTTATTTGGTTTCAACAAGTAACACAAGAAAAGAAACCCACATCAATGACCCACACTTTGTACACAAGAACCCAGACAGCACCTGGATTTATGTTTTGCCCCATTATGACTAGTGCTGTGAGAAACCCTTTTCCCTCCTAAATTTGTGCAGAAATGAATTTTAATCAAAAGTATTTTAACTTCCTAAATCAGAAATCAAAAGCATTCTCCTTCATACAGAGGATGAAGCAGGGGGTTAGCAGTATTTATATGAATGCAGCATTCTCTGACAGCTAGACAGCAAATTACTGTGGAAAAGTGAAAGGCAAAGTTATTATATCTCATTTAAAATTGTATCCATTCTCCCCTAAATGTTTGTTTACCGTGTACAAAAATTCCATGCCAAACTGAATACCTTTAACTTCCTCTTGGGAAAAGTTGACCACTGTGCAAAATGTGTTCCCTAACATCCAGTGCAAGAATAAATTATTGGCTCCAATGAACCACTAACTAAAAATAACCTATTAGTTGGTTTGCCCAAAAGAAAAGGGCTCTGTGTACCATGTAATCACTTGGACTGGAAGCTTCATAGGAATTGCTTCTATAAACAGTTTCAGTTGCAACAGGGTAAACAGGAAAAGCCAAACTTAGACATATAAAAAAGCATGCAATGTGCTATTCTGAAACATGGAAGTTGCCCTTTAAGGGAGCCAGTCATCCCACGGTCTTAAAATTCTCTCTTTTTTTTTTTTCTTAATAAGAAAACAAGGATGTGAACTAACCACCTCATTTTCTAATGAATGTTAAAATTCCCGTTCTCTTGATTATACTTGGTAAAAAACCAGCTCAAAACATTCGACTAAAGCCTTTGAGACTTCTGGCCACGTGACGTAACCGTGTGGAACAATGCTACCAAAGTTCAGGCTCGTAAATGGAATAAGACACACGTTATTAAACCAAGGAGCTCCCCAGAAACGCTCCGCTGAGGTCAGAAATCACAGAACAACCACCTGCTTTTACAGACAGACCAAGGAAACACGTAAAAGACCAGGAAAACTGAATTTCTCACGACGCCTCATCTGAAAGACCCCCCCAGCAGCAAGCCATGCAGGTTCAATAGCCAGCAGTTCCCCAGGCGATGTCGGTGTTACCCATGAGTAACTCACACGTACTTTTTTCCCTGCAAAACCTGCATGTTCCAGCTTTCTGACAAGCATATGAACAACGTCAGTCTTGATCACACATCATGAACGTCAAACTCGCAGAGCCCTTCGGCTGCAGGTTATCTGGCAACCGTGCCACCGAAATGGCAAGATATTTAAATTTTTCCTACTGATTTTAAATTAGTTTGAACTGGTTAACAGTGACACAACAGCCCCCCACACGCGTCCTTCCACCAGAAGAATGTCAAATAGCTTCATACCTCATATGATCATTACATGTACAGTGAATCAGAAAAAGAACAAAGGGTAAAATGAAAACCCTGGGGTATCCTCTAACTTTTACAACAGCATGAAGTATGCAGAAGAACAAATAAAACCTTTTAATGTATGCAGTGACTTGGAGAGTAATATCCCCTTTAGAAATGGCTTGTCCAAGTTTTAAACATATTTATTATCCTCTTTGCATCTGTCCACCTCCATTAAGTCTTTTTTCCTCCAGAAAAGTAAAATAAACCTGGATGCTGCTCCTTGAGCCAGTTATGTACTGCAGTGCTTCATAAGAGAACAAAAAGACATCCAGTGACAGCAGCCAAGATTAAAAAACACTTCACAGTTTTCAAAGTCAGGAGAGACTGATCACTTATAATCCTCCAAATTAGTGCATTTCTTTTTCATATTAGATAGATGAAAACTGCTGGGTTTGGTTGTTTTGTTAAATACAATCTTTTTCACTGTGTTCTGGCCTACTCCTCCCTCCTTTATTTTTTTTTTTTTTTAATATAACCCAGGACTTAAAATGACTCAACATCCTCAAATTGTTTTTGAAGAAAAAAACGTCAGAAACGTCTACAAAGCCAGCACCAGCCTAGACTGTGCTTTTAGATCTCCACAATCTTCTTACCACTCACCTCACTGTCATTTTATACACCGAAAATTCTCGTTAAACTTGATGCCCTATTGTATTCAGTAATGACCACTTAAAAGTGAATCGTTTATCAGAAGATCTTTTTCAAGTGATTAAAATAAATTGATACCTGTGAATCTGAATAAGATGAAAGAAAAATACATCCCTTAACTCCCTGCTTCTGTAAAAATCTTCTTACCAGGCCACAGTGACATCCCCGACTGGTGTGAGAGCTACAGATCAAGCAGGTAGCCTTCTTTTTGACGTGGGCATTTCACTTTGCTTCCATAAAGACGAGACAATTGAAGTTCAGTTGAGTGAAATTCAAGTAATAGTGAGAAGACTGGAGAGCAGGGACCTCAAATACATGCTGGAAGGACCTCCTGAGCCATGGTACCCCTCAGTGAGCTATCAACCACCCCCTTTTCTAATGTATCCAGCTTTATTTTAGTTTATTTTAGTAGGTCTTCTGCCTACACCATGACTGTCCCCAAATTTCACTTCTCAGCTGGTTGGGCAATCTCTAATTCCCAGCCCGGATTTATGACTGCCTTATACTCATTTGTCTTTATGCCAAGTGGTGCTTCAATTTTTAAGTAAAACCTAAAATCCTCCAACCAAGAGAAGGATGATGGATAGAGGGCAGCCCCATCATTACTCCAGTTTATCATGACAGAAGATGAAAGTGCTGATTCCACCTGTCACGAGTCAGGGATCGGAACCCGCGGTGCATCAATCACCCGCGGTCACCATCGATCCAGGCTCGCCCTGTCCCAGTGCCAGCTGAGGGCACCCTGCTCCCTGCACGCAAACCCAGCCACTGAACTGAGGCAGAATCTGTGCTATTCCATTGCCATGGAGGGATTTCCAACCCTGGAGCGCAGCCTGAACCATCTAAATCTGATTTAACTGGAGATCACTCAGTGAGTTACTGCGAGAGAAACCAGAGTGCGGCATCGGCCATTCCCCACAAACACTTGAGCTGCAAAACGAGGTACAGAAACTTGAGTTTCTTTAGAAACGTTTTTTAAAAAAATAATACCACTGTTTAGACATGAGAAGTGAAAGGAGACACTAAGTCTGCCACTACCTTGTCCTACAGCTCCAGTGACCAGTTGGCCACTTGGACAGAGCTTGGAGCAACCTGGTCAAGTGGAAGGTGTGCCTGCTCATGGCAGGGGGGTGGAATAAGATGGTCTTCAAGGTCCCACCCCAAACTACTCTGTGATTCTTTGATTCATTCTCTGATTCTGTGACCATTAAAGTTATTTATCTTTTGCCATTGAGGAAACTGAAGGAAAACAGAATAATGGATACATTAAGTGAACTTTTCCTTCTTTTTAACTGGTCAGTTTTCTCAGCACAGATGAAAATAAACATTTTCTCCTGGAAATTTACATGTAGTCCTCACAAAGCTGCTGCTTGCCCTATTCAGTGTCACAAATGACATCCCCACCTTCTGAGAGATTTATTAAAATACAGCGCTAATCATTTCTCTCTCTTTATGCACTAGAGAATCAATCTGCAATGAAGAAAACATGTTGAAAAATCAGCTCTCCTAATGGTTCACATCAGCTGTCTCCAACAGATCACCAGTAGAAAAACATTCATTTCCATGTGCACATATAACAAAACAATCAATCGCTGCTCATTACTTACAGGTCCAAAATTAAACTGCTCAAAATAAAGAACATGCAATCTGCAACACCCCAACTGTTTCCACAGACACAGGAGCAACAGTAAAGCTGTTCAACATCGATCAAGTTTGGATTCGAAACCTTTGGAGCTACTCCTTTACCACAAATATTTTGTATTTTGTTTGCAAAGTACCACTTTGCAAAGCAGTGAAACAGAAATTTGAGGACAACCCCTACAGACTGAGTATTTTCTTCCATGGATCAACATCACACACAGGTTTCCAAATTTTACAGGAAAAAAAAAACTGGATACAAACATATCGGCAGTAAGAAACGAGGCGGTGACCTGTGTTTCCTTCTCACTAAAGATTTCCCTTAAACAAAATAAAAATAAAAATATAAGAACACCAACTTACGAGAGAGCGAGTGGGTGCCTTTGGGTAGGTACTCGAAGAGCAGGGAGCTGTCCTCGCCCAGCATGTCGGCCTTCAGGGACAGCAGACTGTTCTTACTCATGAGAGCCGCGCGCAGGTTGGCGACCGTGGCGGCCTGGAGCGCGTCCTCCTTCTCTGGAGTCAGGGGCTGGTGGATGTAGCTGGATTCCCCGCCCAGGAGAGCTTCCTCCACGTTGGAGTAGGGGTCCGGCCGCTCCCCCCTGCTGTCAGAGCTGCTGGGCTCTGTCCCTGCAGCATCAGCACCTGTGGGATGGAAGAGACTGTCAGAGACACGGGAAAACACGCGGCTGCGGGACCACGCGCCTGCCCCGCCGGGGATACAAACAACAGGACCAGGAATGGAGCAACACTTATTTTGGCTTTGTTTTTCACATGAGAGTGCTGTTTCTCATCCCTCTTCTCCCAAAATCCCCAAGACCTGGCCACTCAAAGGCTCAATGAGAAGTGCTTCCCTCCAAATCTGGGAGTTCTGTTTTTCCAGCCCGTGCCCACCTGCCCCACCAACTGGGCTTAACCACAGCACCACACACTCTGAAGGCAGGGCAGAGGGAGGGACAGAGGTGTTGCCTCCTTCACAACCAATACTTGGATAAAATTAAGATTTCAAGGTAGTCTGCTAGTAGTGAAATTACATTCAAAGGTTTAAGCTCTGTTTTCTTCATAATTTTACTCCAGCAGTTCAAATTTTCATTCTTTCATTTCTTCCCCGTGATGAAGGTTTAGAAAAATCCAGTAATAGACAGCCTCTAATCGTGGGCTGCTAAGTAGTATAAACCCCTTGGGGTCACTTATCTAGAAAATACACAGCAATCAGTGGTTCCCAGCACCTATCAGAGAGTGGGTTTTATACAGAAGTGATACAGTTAAAAAACCCCAAAAGATACACATCAGCCACTTTACAACAACAGGTAGCTACAAAGAAACTGTATGAAAATGTAGTGAATTATTAATAAAATATCGATTACTGAACCCAAACAAAACCAAAAAAGCTATGATAAGGTAAATTCCTCCCTGTGAAAGCACAGTTTATTTTTGTATTTCTTGGGAGGTCTAACTGAAGATTCTCTTTCGTTTGAACTTTGACTCTCTCATAATCTTAAATAATTTATGTATTTTTATGCAAAGACTCCTCTCTATTCTTCACACGAAACAACAAAAATGATGTACAAAAAGGGCTGTTAGCCCATTTATAAAGTGCATAAACCAAACTGCAATTACCTACTCCACAATCTGCAGCAGCAAACACAGCTGACACACCCAAACCCCAGCTGAGCACCTGGCAAAGGGAGCTGAAGCCTCCCAAACTTATGCCTTTGTAGCATTTCTCCTATCAAGATGTAGAGGGAAAAAAATCCAAATCCAAAGAGAAGGCACAGATAATGAGCAATCGGATGGAAAAGGAAGCTGTTTTGCAGATCCTGAACATTTTATTGCCTCCTCGTTTAAAACAGATTTAAATCTACTTAAAGCAAGAGGGAACTATTACAGCTCAAAGCAGTGGGACAACATGCACAAAATCAATACACAGATCCACCCTGCACTCCTCAGGACAAGGAATTCAGGTGCTGTCCACACACACCACTGCAATAAACTTACTCCTGCCCAGGTTTCAGGGCAGCAGAGCCCAGGAGAGGGGAGGAGGCAGAGTGTGACACACCAGCACTCGGCTTCCACAACTTCAATCCAGGGCAAGGCATTAATCTGCAGAGCCTTATTAAAAAATGCTAATGAGGACACTGGTACCGTGCCCACCTCCTGCAGCCTGGAAAACAGCTGAAGGAATATCATTATTTTTATCTCCATTTTACAGGTGGTGGCTGCCAGAGAAAGGCTCAGTGACTTGCTTGAGGTGTCCAGCCCGTGGAGCCAGGAGCAGCCAGTGGACTTCCCAGTCCCAGCCCAGGGCATGTCAGATTCCACAACACGTCCAGATCGGCTTTACTAAGCTGCACTGTTCTGCCAACACCTCTTACTCTTAAGTTTTTCCACTTCTTGCAAAAAACAAACAGCCTCAGAGTAAATAATAAGGAAAAAGCAATCATAGGCAGAGTGCTCCCACACCCCGGAGATGTAGGGAATACTCACGACTGGGGGCTACCAACACAGTAGGCAGTTCATAAATGTGAACTATCAGAGATGCTCTCTGTTTAAAACAAACCATTTTCCCCCCTCCATCTGTGTTTTGCTTGTACAGTATCATATTATCAGTTTTATTAAATCTTAGCCAAGAAGAATTCAAATGCTTCGAATTTTTATGTATTTTGTCACCCCTCTGTTAATGGCTCACAGGGATAGATATTATTCTAGATGATAATTAAGGTTTTTTTAAAACAAACCAGCACATCCACATAAAGGGAAATTACAAGACATTAAGAACCAGCAGCTGTTGGAAAAGGTGGTGAAGAAAGTAAATTAAACTTTAGCCCATTAAACTGGGAAGGTAACAGAAGCTTCAGCACATCAAAGCCATGGTAATACCACCATTCCTCTGCTCCTCACTGCCTACACGGGGAATCACAGCACATAATTTGGGCCAGAGAGGGTGCTGGTCCACAAAACTGTGTTCCCAAATAACCAGGCAGGCAGGAAAGCACCTTGTGTTTTCTGCCATCCTTTCTCAGAGCCTGTTACAGCTGCTGATTGACAGTTGCCAGAATCCGCTGCTGCACATAAACACTAATTGCTAAAACACACGCAGATTAATTGTAACCACAACAAGACATTAAATGTTCCTCAAAAGCCAAGATTAGAGACAGACAGTGAAATAGATGCTTCAGAGCTTCCAGTATTTATAGCTGATGTAATATAATCAAATACACATTAAGGCAAAATAAATATCCACTTAGTCACACAAGTACTAAAATACTCCCGGCACACCAAAACCCAAAAAAATGCACCAAGTTCCTCTCCACGGCGCCTCCAAAACCACTTCTCTTTTCTCTAGAATGCAGCTCCTTTTAAAAAGATTTAGCCAAAGAATTATATGAATCGAAAGCATCCGTCACTTCCCAGTAATCTAAACTGTTTACTACAGCTCCAGCCCCACGTAAACCAGGCTTTAGTCAATGAGCTCCTATTCTGCAATTATTCACTGCCACGGGTCCCGCGGCCGCCCGAGAGCTCCATCCAAGCCCTCCACATCTCATTTTTCACACCGCTGGGACAGCCCCTGTGACTGCAGAGATCCGGGCTCCGCGCGCAGGAAATCCCGAGCTAAACACGGGATTAATCCTGCTCGGAAAACTGAGCTCATTAGTCTCTTTAGCGAATCATTATTTCGCAGTTATTCTATTACACCAGCCTGCTTTCCAAACACAGAAGCTTTAGAAAAGCTTTCTTAGTTGGTGACTCGAAAGAATATTTTATTATTGGGGTTTGGTTTTGTATAAAACACAGGGTCTGTTTTTTTGACAATTCTGGCAACAGTATTCCCACGCAGCCCTGAAACTCTGAAAGCAACATTTAACTGGTAAAGTTCTTACACATGAAAGCCTCATGTAACAGGGATACAGGGGGCCTGACTGGGAGCACCTTCTCACAGAAGTCACACATCCCAGCTGATCTCAAAACACGCTTCCCAACCACGCTGACCAGGCAGGTTTTAACAGATCCATACCAAACCTCATGCCAGGACAGTGGGAGCAGTGCAATATTCCCAACACACCCAAGGAGGCTCCTGCAAAAGCCCTGAAAGTCCCGTAAACCGAGCTCCTGTCACACAAACCCAGTTATGGGAAAACCAAGCTGCACTAGTCAAAAAAATCAAGCACTACAGACACCTGACAGCCCCTTGGAGAGGGCTGTGGTACTGAAGCTACTAAAAGTACTCAAATTATATGATAATGTGATAATTTATTTTCCGAGATCTAGGGGGAAACTGACAGTAAAAAGGCATTAAACCTACTCCAACAACTGAGCAAAGCACACATGCCACCCCAGAAACAGCAAGGATAAGTTTCTCTATTTTAAAGACTCCATTTGACTACCCTAATTAATTACTTTAATATAGAAAATGATTTTTTCCTTGTATTTCTTCTCGCTGCTTCTGTCATTTTTCCTCATTACAGCTTAAACTCATCTGTTACCAAACTATCTGCTCAGTGTCTGCTTCTCTCACACCATTTATTTCTTGTTTGTACTGTGTTTTAACCTTCTCAGTAAACCCCCAGTGGGGTTTCCCAGACTCCCAACGCTATTATTCTCTTTCATAATTCTTTTTTTTCTAATAATTTTTTCCTCTTTTCATCTCTCATGCAGACAGTTGAACATCTAGAAATCTGTGGCTGGAGGACTAAACCCATGAGAACAGAGAAAGGTGTGAAGGAAAACCACACAAGGTTACATCTGCTGCTGGAAAATTCAAAGCAGAAACAAGCTTTTTCCCCTAAGAACTAAAGGCAACGTTTTGCCAGGTCAATCTTCTGCAATACTGCTTGTTTCATTAGAGTCTCGAGGTAAGAGGAGATCCAAGGAGTCTGTCATCTCTTCAAAGCCCAGTTCTGTTTGGCAGGAACACAAAGCAGTGACGTTCATCCCTCGGTTGAACGAGGGATGCCGAGGTCGCACGATGGAGGTGACGCCCTGGCAGCGAGGGGGGAGCCAGCCACGAACAGGGCAGTCCTTCGAAGGAGGGCAACTGTCCCCCACTCATCATTTACAGAGCTTTAACTCAGTTTCTGTGTTTCTCCACCACCCTGGCAAACTTCAGCAATCTTCTTGGCCTGGAGATCCCCAAACTGGATCCTGTCCTCCAGATGCTCTTCCCAAGGCAGGCAGCCAGATTTCACCGCTGCAAGGGCACACAGGCCCCTCTTCAGCTCCTTACTCACCAAAAAGCAAAGCTGTTTTCTCTCCCCTTGGCTGCCAACCCAAACTGCTGCACAGGGTTTTTCTGTCCCACACACAGGACTTCTCACTTGCCTTGGTGGAATTCATGCTGTGCCTGGCACTGCTGGCTTCCAGCAAATCATCCCTCCCAGCCTGGTGCCATCCAACAACTTGCCGAGGGTTCACAACATCCCACCACTTAGTGAACAAAGTCAACAGCATCGGCCCTGGAAGCAGCCTGTCATGGATGCAGGCATCCCACTTTCTGGGGCAGATGTTTAGTATCTCCTGGACACAGCTGGATAATTTTTAGTGTGATGGCAAATGTAATTTTTTTCTGTTTACAACACGACAAGTGGAAAGGACGACAGGAAGAGGTTCCAACATCAGCAACTTCTCCCACTCCAAATTCCTGC